TATATATATGCATTTTTGCTTTTCTCTTCCTTCTTTTCTCCTTTACCCCATCCCAGTTTCTCTTTCATTTTGAACAGTTTCTTCTCATTTTACAACTAAATGATTTTAAAGTACAATGAAAACTGTCTGCCCCTCTTTTGCCAAGAAGTCTGTTTCCTCTTCACTAAGTCATGTATTATATGGAGATCCTAGATCTTAGATTCTGGTCCCAATTCTCTCCCTGTTCTTCCTACAGCTGACAGCAGGTCACTATCTCTTTGGGCCTCAGTGGAACCATCTGCATCAGAGCTGACCAGAGTTGGGACAGTTAGAAGAGTAAGTGGAGAGGAAGAAGAGAAATAGCAGTCAACAATATTAGCACTATTATTAGCATTATGTAGTCCAGTATGTTAATCTGCCTTCTCTCTCTCTCTCTCTCTTTTTTTGTACTGGGAATCAAACTCAGGACCTTGCACTTGCCAGGCAGGCTTGAGTCACTGAGCTATATCCCCAGCCCTAATCTGCCTTCTCCATAAGCAGTAACTAAAGAATCACCACCTCTTTTCTTTAGTTAGCAGGTAAACAAGGTTGCTAGGTCTGAGCTCTATGCTTCAAGTTTCTCGTTATTTTTAATGAAAGCAGCCAACCAAAACTGGTATAAACATCTCTTATCTAATTAGAGACTTTTTTTTTTTTTTGTCTTTTTGAGACAGGGTCTGTCTGTGCAGTTCAGGTTGGCTTGGAGGCCCAGGTTGGCCTCAAACTTGCAGTAATCCTCCTGCGTCAGCCTCCCCAGTGCTGGGATTACAGGCGTGCACCACCACACCCAGCTAGAGGCATTCTTAAGAAACGATCAATTCCAATGAAATCTGAGATTTAATTGCAATTTTCCTAGGCCATTATTTCATTCACGTTTGGCAAGATACAGATTCACTTCTCTTGTTCTCTAATTTTGCCTGAGGAAATAAGGAGAAATTTTATATTACTCATCTCTTTTTCTAACTCATTAAGAATGATACAAGAGCTGAGACAACATGGGAAGTTAAGGGTGGTCTGAGGCAGAAATATATGATACAAACACAAAATATCTTGGATATTTACAAGGTAGTAAGTAAGTAAGTAATAGAATATATAAGAAATACAGCAAAAAATATGTTGTATTTTCATTGCTTGATGTTAGGATGACTCCCACCCTATCACCAACCCTGAAGCATCTCTAACCTTCTTGAGGTCCAGGATTAGCCGTTGGAAGTTCAAGCTCTAGCAATTCAGCTTATGTAATATTTACATAACGCAGAGGGATACAATTATCATTGCATACAACACAGTATAATACAATAACTAGCAGTTTCACTACAGAACACCGGTTTGCATTCTTTTCACTATGATTGAATGAAATAAGATGCTGAGAAATGTTCATGGGATCCTGCATTTTACCCTACAGCAGTGCCTAGGACTGGAGTTTACTTCTGTTAAAACTTTCAACCAAATCATGTTCAGGAAAAGCTTTTCTATGGTAGCAAACTACTAAGGTTAAAAAATCACAGACAATGACTGTATATGTTCTGTCTAAACTGTCGGAGAAGCTTATCTGCAGTGAATCTGGAGCTTTTAAAGATGGCTCTATCAGTGTGAGCTCATGATTGTCATGCAAAATCGTACTCACAAATGCCATTACTTAGAAGTCAAATGCATTAAAGTCCTGTAGGAAGCACTTTCGATTGTTTTCATGTTGTTATTTTTCAGCTGAGGTTTAAAGCCACCTCCTACTTTTTTATTTTCTGTCCCAGGATGTGCTATAGGAATCTATGAAACTTAATTACATTTACTGTTACAAAAAAAGGATTTATGAACTTTTGCCTTTAGGCAGAAATGTTTATTTCATTGCCTTTGCTATCCTTTCTTTTCAACTCCAAGGGCTTTGAACTTTTCAGCTGCTCAGAGTTATCACAGTAGCGCAGAGCCCCAGAGCCCCACTCCTAAGAATCACACCACAAGTTGAAGAAAACGAAGAAGGCAAAGATATATGAGTCGTTATTTTGGCCACCCTTTGTGCCATTAAAATCTCATTTTCTGCCTATTAGAATGCCCTCTTGGTGCTTAGGCAGCGGTGATAGTCGGTGATTAGTGTGTAATTGACTATAATTGTCTTTTCACTTTTCATTTGTGTCATTCTGAGCTTCTCTCTGTTTTTCTAACCACCAGGAGGAAAAAGGAGGTCGAGAAAAGATAAAGCTGTTAAAACTCTCACTCTCTCAGCCCTGAAGAGATTCTCGATTGCAATTATAGATTGCAACCCCTTCGCGACATTTCTCCAAATTTAGTGGAGAGCTCTTCTCACCACCTGGGCCAAATGCTCTCTAATAAAATCAAGCGATCTGTATTTAAACAACTGCTAATAATGTCAACCTCAGACAGATGCCACATGTAAGAAATTTAACCATCTCTCTGACATGCAATTATCAAGGTAATTTATTAATATGATCTCCCAAGAAAAGCTCATAGTCCAATGCAAATTAGAAAAACAATTACAACATTCAAATATATAATCCCAAAGAGCAGTCATTCCTCTAATTTGTGCATTTATAACTCATTTATTTCCCAGCACTGCCGTGATCAGCTGAGTCTCTCCACATCATTTGTCTTCTCCTTCTAGGACTGTTGTGTCAAAGTATTGATATTTTCTTCTCAGGTACTTTCTGCTCCAAACCCTGTTCACTCAACCAATACCATTGGAAACAAGAAACAAAACTAAAGCCACCCTGTTTGTGAGTTCTTAACCAAAGCCCAGAGCTGGGGGTAGAGAAGGCACATGACAAATGCCTCAACAACTAAGTATAAACACAGAGTCTCAGTGATTACATTAGAAGTCATTTGAATTTTAAGTCCAAGCTACAACGTTTTCTGCAGTCAGTAGGAAGGGTAGAGAGAAAGGAAACTAGAAAACTAAAATCATGTGGCTTGTATAAAGAATACATTATGGTTTAAATTTGGCAATTCATTATACTACTGCCTCGGGGAATTGACTATTTGGTTCTGGTATACAGCAAATCATCTGTCTAGAAACACGGGACTGACCTGAGGTGAAAGGCCATTGCCAATGGCGGGGTTCATGGGGTTGGAGGGCCCCGATGGAGGCACAAAGCTGTCTGTATAGCTGGAAAATCCATGCCTGGTGCTGGGGAGACAGTAGGCAGAGCTGCTGTCCGGGTTCGAAGGAATAGTGCTTTGGTGTACGGTGCTTGGAGGAAGTGGTTGAGGTCTGTGAACGGTGCTGCTGGGATCTGACACGGCTGAAATGAAGAAGATTGTCAGTGAGAAAGTTCCTTTGCAGACCAGCAGAGCAGGCTCAGTGCGAAATGTCACAAGTTACCAAGCTGTCAGCGGAATGTACTGGTGATGTTTGTTGATGATTCAAACTGTGTTTCCTAGCACGTAGGTGTAGAATCAGTCAACAGATATAGCCACGTCTACCTTTGTGCATATTTGCAAGTACATAACTTAGGTATATACTCTCACAGCACACCCACACAGAATATGAATGCAAAAATCCCATTTACAATGCTAATAAGCCTCTTTCTGATAGTGAATACTATTAATCAGTGTGACAATTGAGCAATATGTCTGCAAGTGTCAAAATTCTTATCAAATGCACTTTTACAGTACCTATATATTAATGCTATAGCAGTTTCAAATGCCTGACATGCTATGTTTCATGATCCAAAATACTTGAGTCTTGTAATTTAACGTTAACTCATTTAACTCTAAGTGCTAAGAAATAAGGACTTTATCAACGTATTCCTTCTCTATATTACTGCCGCAGTTAGTAACCATCACAGAACTTTGGTTAATTACAAACTGGTGCACAAATGTACTGAAGTTAGTAACCACAGCAGAAATAGTGTACAAATGTAGCAGTAAATTTTTAACAAAGAAGCAAACCCCGTGTTTATTTAGGAAGGTTGTTTTGCTTTAAAATACTGTAATGGCATTATATTACCACACCGTTTATCTAGAGGAATTCAGATATGTCATGGAATAAACTATGTTTCTGAAACGTGACAGGCACATTTAGGACAACCTGATGTCACATAATTGACATACAAACAGCATCCATGTCAACATCCTAGAAAGAATTCACTGTATAAAATATCTGCCAGAGAAAGCAATTGGAAGTTACAGTTTAATCTCGAGTCTCTTTCTTTATACCTTGTGGAATAGACGTGGGCTGGTAAGAGGTCTCCGACAGCTGGTATGTTGGCAGGGTCGGCATGGCAGTGGGAGGGAATCCCCCCGGAATGAGATGGTTGAAAGCCATGAGTTGATTGGCCCCAGCTTGCTTCCTCCATCTTGCACGGCGGTTGCTAAACCAGACCTATGGATTTAATTTAAAATTTGAGGATTTCACTGATGAAATAATAGTACATTCTTAATGAATTTTTCATGCTAAAACAGATTAAAGGCCCCTTACTGACAGGGCAAGTAGATGCAAGAGCCCCCCACCCCGCCTTCGGTGTTGTTGGGGAGCACTGTCAGGTTGAAAGGAGAGTTGAATGGCAGGGGTCAGTAGAGAGGCACTGATGACTCTTTGTGGTCCTTCAGTAGCCCCCACAAACCTCATGATGACCTTAGATAGAAATCACTGAGCAGGAGTAGCAACAACGAGAACACCCCATTACTGCCATCAACACCCACCCACCCGCACAAACTACAGCCTTGAAGGAGGAGCCATGAATCTCTCTGACTCCCACTTGCCACGTGTCCTAAATTTGGCCTGGCCTGTTCCATACACCAAGCATTGTGCTTTACATTTTTATCATCCTGTCTCTGTATTACTGTCATCTTTGGGAGTACAGCTCCTAGACAGCGATGTCAAAAGAACAGAAGGATAAAGAAATGGAACCACGTTACCATGTTTTTCAGCATATGAGACACTGGACTGATTGATCTCATTGGAAGTAAATGCCAAAGAAAGGTCTGAAAACATGAAAGCATTTTCCATCTAAAATACAGTTGATGATTGGTAGAAGAGATTTCTACCAGTTAAAAATATTCTTTTTTATATCAAGAGTTACTAAAACATGACTTGAAAGCATTGTGCTTAGGAGGGGACAGAAGTGGAGTAAGGTAGGATCTGATACTCAGAAGATCCCAAACTTGACCTTATGGAGCTCACAAAGAATTTAAGGAGACCCAAACAATTACTCACTAGAGGAAGAAGCTCCAGGTTTGGAAGTGCAGAAAGACAATCAGGAAAACTTTCAAGTAGAGGCCAAGTTTCAGCTCATTTTAAAGTTTGGGCACAATTTCAATGAAAGATCACTCCAGACAGAGGTCATGGTACAAAAAAGAAAGAGCAGACCACCCCAAGAAAAGAGGAGCCTTGATTTCCTCATAGGACAGTGTGTAACACTTACACAACATAGCTGCAATTCTTATGTCATACAATTTTAAAAAGTGAATGTCTTGTTCTTTTTGAAATAGGAAACCCAAGTTAGCAAATATTTTACCCAGGCGTCTGAGCACCTTCTACCACTCATCCAAACATTTGCCTGCACAGTGTTTTGTCCTCTCCAGCCCTTGTTTCAAGGTATTGGTAAGGAAAGTAGTTTGAACTTCCTGAAAATATTAACTTTTAATAGTCCTTATGTTTCCAGCAGGAAGAGAAAGTGAGTCAATATTTTTCCTGTGTTGATACACAGTTGAGTTAGCCTTTCACTTGATAAATTGTCACCTGGGGTAACAGAACCATGAGCAATGCTCAATATTAGACCTGCATCAATTGCACTTTCTCTCTGCAAGTCTGAGTGTTACACTTTTTTAGATGGATTACAGGAAGAAAAACCACTTCTTACTAAGGAAAACCTTGTAATGAACTGTGTTAGCCTGAGAAGGCTGAGGTTGGGAAATCAGGGTCATTTTCATGCTATACCACCCACTGGAGTCATAACCTTATATTATAAAACCTCAAGATTAAAGAGGCACTTTTAGCTCACACGAAGTGGTTGCTCACACTTTTCTAGATCAACTATACTCAGTGCATCTCCAGCTTTATGTGCTTACCTATGAGGAGAATGTAACTCCCGAAAGTTCAGATAGTGGTGAGACCCACCAAGAAGAATTCAGAAACCCACACTTCCATTTGATCAGAGCATAGAACCAAGCTGTCTATGCCAACTTCCTTCTGTAACCTTTGAATAAGTAACCAGGTTCAATCTACCCAGAGGGTGGCTATGCCCAGTCTCCCCACAATCTCAAGCTAGTATTCATTCAAGGTTCATTCTAACTACACCATAACCCAAATTTTAAAAGCAAAACTGTTATTTCCCAAATTATGTGAAAGGAAGAACATCCGAACTTTCTACAAATTCCTTCAGAAGGTGAAATCCACACAGGCTAGATATGTAAGGATTTTGAAGGTTGTTCCCATTTTTTCCAAAATAATAAATAAATATCAAAGATACTGAGTAAATCCACTAGGAGCTGTATTCTAAAAACTCTTCTGTTTATGATACAATATCTATTATACCTACAATAAAAAGGTGAAAATAAATAATTGAAAAGCAAGTCTATATCTACGAACAAATCTTTAGGACAAGGTTTAAGCTTCCCAAAGGAAAGAACTGAAATGTTGTTTAAGTTTAGGCTAAATAAATCAAGAGGGCTATTGCTGAGAAAAGTGGGATTTAATGAGGACTAGCCTGCTTGTCTCTGGACACTAAACCAGAATTTTTAATCGTCTTACCAATGCCAGCCTTCTGTATTCTCTAGAACTAGCTGGGCTGCCAAAAGAAGCATGAAAGGAAAAATATACCAAAGTTGAAAATTCTGCTTCCTTTCCCTCTCTGTACTTTGAAACTCACAAACAATGTATCTTCAATTTTTAGTAGGGAAAAAATGCCCCTGAAATAATATTCATTATAAATTCCTACATGGACCAAATAGTGATACTCCTGGAAAGCTTTTAAATAATTCCCTTCATACTCAGAAGCCTTAAATAACTCAACATTTAAATAAGCCTTAAATAACTAATCCCTAATAGGTTACCAATGGATAATCTACTGAATCACAAGTATGTGTGAATGTAACAGACTGAATAAGTTCATCTAAAATAGATGGAAGGTATTGATGACTCAATTCCAGTCTAGAAAGTTCTCCTCATTTTGAAAAGAATAACACTATCAACAGAAACGCACTGGCCTGGACTAATGTTCTAGAATATTAGTCATATTAGAGAATATGAGTTTTCCATCAGTGCTTTTCCAGTAAAGCAAAACCAAATTTTACAAAGTCGGGTACATGCCTGAAAGGCATAGTTTTAACATCTCTAACCCAAAATAATTTTCCTTTCCCTGCAGTACATTATATGGCCCTCCACATCATTCTTAGCATGAGCAGAAGTGAGGGCAGAGACACACATTGCTCGGTATCTCATTACACACTGTTAGTTAGCTATGACTGCATGTGTACTATCACAATACATCAGTCCTCTCCTCCATCCTCCAATCACTACTGCAATCCATGAATTACAAAAGTGGAATAAAATTGTAATAAATTTTTCTCTTCATGAGTAAAGTAATTTATTTAGGCACTAAACAATATAAGCAGAAAAATTTAGTAATCTCCATACTAAAGATACAGGAATACTTTTTATGCAAATGGTTCCAATCTCCATGCCCTCACTTACAACTGTGACCTTGAATGATTTGCTTATCATTTGGAGGGCTTGTTATCTTATCTGCTACATGGAAAACATATATATACATATATATATATATATGACTTCACAAAAACTGTAACAATTTAAAAATGCAGTAGGATCAAAGCACTGGAAGAAAATTTAGAGATACCATCTGCTAAATAAATATTAGCTATTAAGTTAAAATTCTCATATTGATACTTCTCTCTGAGAAAGCTAAGAATTAAAGGCTTGTCTTGTCTTTTTGCCTCTGTGGTCTACAGCCAAAGCCTTTTTGTGCCAATGGGTCAATAGGAAAGTGCCTCAAAACACCTCAGATAACTGAGAGCCAGTTTGCCTTGAATGAAGGCTTAGGTCAAATTTGCTTCCAAGTTTAATGGATTAGTGCTAATTGTCCCACAGTGTGAGCCTAATTTTGCCCATCAATAAATTACTAGTTCACATTTCTGGTATTGCCCTCAAAGGCAATCTAACCTACATTCCAGATGGGTTATTTCAAATGCTACTTGAAAAAATGGAGAGAGAATTTAATACTTAATCTGTAGAGAATTCACAACCAGATTAAAATGCTTGATTAAACACTAGATGCAGTGATGTCCTAGTAGTGCAATGTAGTACTTTCTAAGTAGGTAGGTTGGGGCCGAGCTGCTGGTTGTACCAGACCCTTTCATTCATGCCTGTCTCCTTTCCTTTCCCACGCCATGCTCTCCTCCATCCTCCAATCACTACTGCAATCCAGCTTTGCCTGCTGTGTGGAGAGCAGACTGCCAAGGACCGTGGGCACAGCAAAGGCACACTCAACTGCATCTGGATACCTGAGGAACAAGCTCCCACAGAGAGCTGAGGGATGACCATATTTTTGCTTCATTGTGGAGTTCAGAATATTCCACACCTATCCTAACTTCTAGACTATATACATCTGTTAGAAGACCTTAAATCACCATTGGCTTCCCTGAGAACCCCAAATTATTGATGTAAATCAATCCTAAGAGATCATGTATCCTAGTGATTTTTAATTTGCAGGTGGGAGATGGTATCTGAGAATATAATGATGGTCAGGCACACTTTTCCTAGTTAATCCTTATGATGTACACACACACACTACACACACACACACACACACACACATACACACACACCTTGTGTACAAATCCCAGATCTCCCAGAGTCCATCCAAGATTATCCTGATGGTCCATTCACCCAGACTGAGACCATTTGATCTAACTAAACTTATATTTTTAAAATTTAAAAAACCAAAAAATGAAGCCCAGTAGGATGAAATGATTCATTTAAAATATACTTCTAGCAAGTTAGAATCAAAACCCACATATTCTGACTGCTGGTTCAATGCTATCTCCACAAACAGCTTCCTACCCTATCTTCTGCTATCTAATTGGTAAGATATTTGCTTACTTCATGAAATGGTTACTAAAACTTTTGCACATCATACATATTTGCATGTAATTCTGTTCTTTGAAAAGAACTGTGATGTTTGCCATTGCATACATTAAAAAGCCAGCTCAGTGAATTCAGTAAAAGGTCTTTTTTGTTGTTGTTCCTTCTCAGGGGCTAATATTCTATGGTGTACAGCAGCTCTTAGATTTTACACTCAGATTTAGCCAGGAGAAATACAAAACGGCTACTGTCAAAAGAATTTTTATGTAATACTGACAAAGCCCTAAATTATTATAGCTTTTGTCTCATCTCTATCCAAAAGAGGTCTAGAAATAACTTTTCCTCGGGAGGAAAAATAATGGAACATAGATACAGTTTGGAGTTTGGGGGGTTTAGGGTTGAGTTTCCCAGGTGCCTCAAATTAAACTAACTCACACTTTCTGGCTATCACTCAAAGTGCACTGACTTAGCTACCGCTTTCCCAGATCCTCCTAAAAACGAAAGGATTTTCTTCTGGCATTTTAATCAGTGATTAACTACTCCCTTCTTTTTCCTGCTGGGTTAAGTAAAAGATCCATATGCTGGGTGTTCTAGGGAATTTGTTAGGCTGTAGATCATAGCCTGGTGCAAGACATGATGTGTCTCAAGGGAACTAACGAGGCCATAAGGAATGTAAAGGGTCACCGGGTTAAAGCCACATTAAGACAGCTGTTACATTAATGAGGGCTCTGCTTTGGAGAGGAGGGCACTGTATAGAAAAATATGAAGTGCTCTTTATTGGTCTGATCCCATGTCCTCTATGTTAATGGGTCATTATTATTATCCTTTGACATCCACTGACCAGATGAGAAAGCTGGACACTGGACAGCCACGGGGTTTGAAATTCATCTATGGCCCCATCCTTGTTTTTGACAAAAGCAAGAATGAGGTAGAGCAACACTGAATGCTCTTCCACTTTGATCATCTTCACTGTCTCATCTCTTAAAACCACAAGCTTTTTTATTCAAACGTAGTTCAGAACTAATAATCTATTTTAAGAACAGACCCAGTAGGTATGTTTGCCCATGCCATCCGTGTAAGAGCTGACGCTCAAGATACAGTGGGCACTTGCTTCACATTTAAACCAGGTAATCCTAGAACTATAATACACAAACAAACAAAAATATACATAGCAGTGTTATATATATATATATATATATATATATATAATTATATTACGATATTATAGAATACTGGCTTTCTCTGCCAACTTCACTGGGATACAGAGTAAACTCATTATGACCCATGGTTCACGGAGGTCACTTCCATACCATTCAATGGGGAGGAACACTCTGTATCCCCATGAAATGGGTAGAGGACACTCAATAGTTCCAACTGTAAATCACCAGCCCAACAAAACTTGGTGTGTCTGTGACTCTTTCATTCACCCTTCCACCCACCTCCAGCTTACACAGTCGGCTGCACACATCCCACCTCTGAATACCTGTCACTGTGGTCCCTTCCTTGCCAACCCCTCTGCCACTATGCATTCCGTGCCGTGGCCTGCACTGCCATCACATCAAGCATGAGCTTGCCAGCCTGCAACCCAAGCCTTCCACAACATATAATCGGCTTGGCTACCCGACTATACCCTTTCTACTGCCCTGTCGCTCCTTACACTAAGCCAGCTGGCCAGGACAGAGAATGAAAAATCACCTTCTGTGTAGCCCAGGCACTTCAAGCTACTCTGTGTACATATAATTGCCTGTTATTCACATGCTCTCCCTGCGCTATGTCCAGTAAATACAGTATCTCGCTTAACCTTCTATTTATTCCAAGATCGCTTCTTTTCCTTTTCCCCACTCACACTGCAATTTTTCCCTCTCTTTTAGTACTTTATCATGTATGCTTTGTTTTAAAGTACTTATGTAATCCCTTCATTACCCATGTTAGACGGCAGCTCCTGGAGAGAATTGTCTTAGCTCCTCTCCACACTTCTGGACCTTCCTGGCACTGTGGTGATCATTTGGACAGTTGAACAGAATAATCCTTCTACCTAGACTCTGCAGCCTGCAAGAGACTGTTACTGTAAAAAGCTGTGATTGGAGAGATAATGGATTGCATAGGTGCTGGTCAACCTTGATACCACATGAACCGAGCAGTTCACTGCCAAGATGCCAGCCTGACTTTGACCACGAAATTCAACTATCTAAAAGTAACACACCACATTTCCTGATAAGGTGCCTTACCTACTGGGACAGTGAGGAGTTCCCAGACCCCTTAACTCCTTTGTAATCTATAAAATTAATGTGAGAGGAAAAGTTCATCACTGATAATGAAAACATTATTCCACATCAATAGAAACACATTACAGCCACATAGACTTTTCCAGAGGGCTCAGCACAATTGCAAGACTTCAAAAGATAATTCAACATGATCTTAAAATAATGTAATTACTTGAAATCCTTCCAGACTACAGAATTCTTCAAGGGAAAGACTTTGCCTTATGCACCTTGGCACATTTTCCTAATGGAAAGGTTACAGGGATGAAGTGTGTGGGATCCAATTAGCTCTCGATTAGGTACACAGCTGTGCAACCTCCGGTAATCACTTAACCAGTCTAAGTTGCTGTTTCTGCATTTATGAATTGGGGATATTAATAGTATCAACCTAGGGTTATAGTGACTACATGAGTTAATTTGCGTAAAGGATTTAAAGTGGTCCCTATCACAGGATAACCACTCAAATTGTGCTTGCTAACTGGGTACCACTCCAAAGTCTGTACAGTGCCTGGGGAATAATAAGGATTCCGTAAATGATAAGCCAGCATGGATAACACAAACTTCTGTGTACCCTAAATGACAGAATCATATTCTCTTAAGTCTATTTTTTTTTTTTTTTTTTTTTTTTTTGGTCTTTTTGAGACAGGGTCTCCCTATGCCGCTCAGGCTGGCCTTGAGCTCACTTTGTAGCCCAGGCTGGTCTCAAAGTCGCAATGATCCTTCTGCCTCAGGCTCCCAAGGGCTAGGATTACAGGCCTGCGCCACCACGCCCGGCCTCAATTCTCTTAAGTCTAAAAGTATGTGTCCACCTTAAGAGCCATTCCTAATATACTTTTCTTAGATTAAAATACATCTCAGAGGACAGGGTACTTTTCCGTTTGCTCTCTGGCTGGACGTCAATACCTGCACTCGTGCCTCAGTGAGCTTTGCCCTCTGCGCCAGCTCCTCCCTGGTATAAATGTCAGGGTAATGGGTCCTCTCGAAAGCGCGCTCCAGCTCTTCAAGCTGTTCTGCCGTGAAGGTGGTTCGGCTCCTGCGCTGTTTCCTCTTTAGCGGTAAATCGGGTTCAGAGTCAATGTCAGAGCCTTCATCTGACTGGGGTGCTGAGGCTAAAGGCACAAGAGGAAGAAAAACATGATAAAATATGACAAGAAAAGCAAGTCTGACCCAGCCATGATGATGGAAATCTTAGTCTAAAGTTCTGTCACAATGTTGTTCCCTGGATACCAGTGCTTTCAATGTTGTACTACATCGCTAAATGAGATTTACTCTGCTCCCCTATCCTACACCCCTCTCCCCAGGCAAAAATAATTTTCTGAGCATCTGTCATTCTGAGCTCTCAGAAAACAGGGTCAGGGTTATTTCATTTTTACAGCTTTGTATTTAGTACTCAGTACGCACTTCACTGGTGTCTAATGAATAAACCACATTTAATTTGGTTTCTGATAAATTTCCACCAGCCTTTTCACTGAGAGTTCTGTTAACAAATGTGATTCTTTAAAAATATTACAAAATCAACTTAATATCTCAAAAGCCAATAAAAACAAACTACTGTAGGACCTCTATGTGTTTATAGACTCTATTGCTCCTATTTGAAAATCATGTTTAAATGTAGTGTCTCAGGAGCAGATCCTGGGAAATGCTTCAAAGGGAATCTACGTTTTCTTAATGTAAACCTAAATAACTGACCTAAAAGGAAGGTAAATGTCTAGTGAATTGTCCCTAGCTGACGTTCAGCGTCTGGATCCCTGCCTATTGGGCAGGTAGCTTCTGAGGTGCCCAGGGCAAAGAAGAAAATGTGAGATTCCTTGTCAAATATTATTACAAATGGCAGGACAGCAACAGCAGAGAACAAGGCCCTTCTCAACAGGGGCTCCTGGGCAACTGGACCTTGCTGCTGCACTCCCCGCAAAGCCTGCCTTTGCCGGGGTGCACATAGGGAAAGGTATTTCAGACTTTAATGTGCAGATGTCCAGAAAAAATAACTAGGGACTAGGGGATCCTTGCAAATAAGGTACATTATTGCATCTTCTCCCATAAGAACATGTTCTGACTCCTACAGGAAGAAGAAGCTGTGATAAAAGATAACAAAGTGTGAGGCACAAGTATTACTACTTCCAGGCCAAGCTCTGTTACGGAGAGGAAAGAGCGACAGTGTCCAATTTCTGCTAGGGATACATTACGGCTCCCACAGTAAAAGTGGGTGGTGACTTTAATGGAGCACCTGTAGCTTCCAGAACATTCTTTGATTTGAGGCTGCATCAGAGCAGGACCCTGAGTGGGAGAGTGGCCAGAGACCCGTTAAAAAGATCCAGGCATGGGGTAAGGAGCCAGAGACCTGTTAAAAAGCTGCCCGGAACAGGACCTCAAACTAGAGGAAGAGCCACAGCAGCCTTGCTCCCATGGACAGCCAAATGTATGCTGAAAACTCCCCAAAGAATTGGAGGATTTTTCCAGAGAAGAGATCAAGGTGTGCCACTACCAAACAGGGACCATGAGCCAGAAAATTATTGATTTATGTCAGTGTCAAGGTAACTCATTTATACCCTCAGACTGGTCAGATCTGGACAAGTACAAGTGGCATTTGGAACAATGTAAGAACATACAATGCTCTCTAATGTCCTATATGTGTCATTTCCTAAGCTCAACTTTAAATCTGCTATACAGAAATATAAATTTCCATCTATTTCAATACAAATCATAAGTTGCCTCAAAAGAGCTATCCAAAATGAAACCATAAATATGATCCTAAGTTATCTAATACATTAATGTGTTCTATACATGGTGTGAAATGAAGAGGCAATTGAGTGAATCGGTAAGACAGCATACCTGACAAAAATACAACTGAAAACAAATACTGGTGCATAAAACCAAAAGAACTACAATGCACTGAATTATAAACTTCAAAAGTTCCCAGTACAAATTATACACACATATATTTGATAAATACAAACTGAACTAAATGAGAAATAATCTGTGCATAACTGTAGACCCGTGGTTTCCAAGCTTTTGGAACATTAGAATCACCCAGGGGTTTTGATAAAACATAGGCCACTGGTTTCCTTTTCCTATTTCAGACCCTGTAAGTTGAGGCTGGGCCCCTTGAATTTGCATTTCTAGTGCACTTGTTGGCCATTAGTGCAGATTCTCCTGGTTCTGGACATACTTGCAGAAACATCTCTATTCCATATTCCAAATGAACTCTTTCCCCTCACAAATTTTCCTAGAATATAAAATACTTCCTACCCCAACTTATCAAAAAAGTCACTTCTCAATATGTATTTTAGTCGTAAGTAATATGCTCGCTGAGAAACAAATTACTAACTCCTCTAAGAAGGCAATACATCGTTACAAAATATTTTCCTTCCAGCTTTCCATTTTCTATTGCTCTGACTTTTGTTTCCAAAGTGAACTCAGGTAAAACACTCAACAACATTTGGGGATTGCCCAAAAGTTTCCTCTGCCTATGAGAACCCTAAATCTTTGCTTGCATATTCTCTGACTATGATCCCATTAGGATAAGAGTATGTGGAAATTTTCATGTTTCCTATGGGAGTCTCTAGAGTTATTAAATTCTCCCAAGTAAATATGATATGCCATGCACTGTCAGGTCAATTAATCAAAATCGTCTCTGGTTTCTGAAGAAAAAGACTGGTTAGATTTACAAGCACCAGCAAGAATTAATTCTCAGGGTCAAGACCACTGTGTTTCACCTTAACAATCCACATCACCCAGAAGACAAGCTCTGTGACCACAGGCCCTGCTATGCCTTATTCATTGCTGGAATATTTAGAACATAGTAGGTGCTCAATAAGTGCATGTTGAACAGATAGAAGTGCAGGTAAAATTTCACTTTGGGTCTAACACTGATTTCTCTGGCACTGTTTTACATCTAGGAGCTGGGAATTCTGTTCCTGCAAGTCTTCCAACATTTTTTTAGAAGACTGTGATGCTCAGAAAGTATTAGGAAAGTTTTGTAAGAATTTATAAGCCTGCATTTTCAGGGGGTAATAATTATCAATAATTCTTCAAAGAGATTAAGGCTGTGTGTGTATTTTTTAAGATGAAGAACTACCACAAACTAGCAATTATAAAGACAGAACATTTTTAAGAGCTCAATAGGACAGCCGGTACCACCACAAATAAAATTTTCTAACAAGCTAACAAATCACTACTTTTAGTTCTAGACTATTTATTCAAAAGCAATGGAAGACTTGTCTCTAACTAGGAAAACCTCCACACAGTATCATTTCAGAAGACTCTGAGGAAATGACTTGCCTGATTTTTGTACTGGAAAATTATTTGAACCAACTGTTCATTTTTGGCAATATGAAGCCACAACCTTACAAGTTAATTCTAACTTTTCCCCAAGTGTAAACCCCAAAAGGATGTGGGCTTTAAAATATGTAAAGTCAGCAACCAAGAGATAATTTACCAGCAAGGAAAAACTAGTTCTTCCTAAAGATAAAAATGTTACTATTTCTTATGTCACTCAATAGAAATAAGATCCGTTGTTTGCATAGAGTTTAATTCAGAATAATTACCTGAATTTGAATAATTCCATTTTTAAAAGAACAAATATAAAACTTAAATCCCATTTTAATAACATTCAGAGACTATGTTGCTGGAATTCATTTATTTTATATACTCAGTTTCACTCAAACTACTAGAACAAATTAGATACTAGATCCTAAATATTACATGAAAGTAGAAACAAGCCTTTCTCCTAGGCAGCTTGATAGAAAGAAATTATATATATTTCTGTACAGAATATCTAATCTGTAACTTGGAAGTCCACAGCAGTATTGGCAAGACAAGCTGTCTAAATGAGTTAATAAATTGCTAGAATATAGCGATTAGATTCAATATAATTTCTTTGAACTCTTACTAGTGTACACCCTTCATATTAGAAGGAGGTGTTCAATTACATTTAAGTTGCTCAATCATATTCTTAGACACTTTCACAGACAAAATGTGCTTTATTATTTATTAAATACAGATATTACTCCCCAATTTTGAAATTGCAGAAGAGCTCTCAGGAGAAAATATACATCAATGCATAGCACACAGCCTTGTAAATGGAAACTTTATTGCCTTAAGTTGCAAAACAACTTGCAGATTTTATTCCAATCTACATTGTTATTCTATTTTGAAAGTTTAAACTCCTATTATCAGAAGCCTTCACAATCCATTATGTGACAGTGTCACAAATGGCCAGGGAGCACACCTGTCCAGGAGGATGACGATGACTTCTCTCCCTTCCCTGGGTAACTGCGCCACAGCCCTCACAAATACTTACCAAGTGCACAAGAGAAAACTGAGGTGCTGACGGTACACAGGTCACACAGCTAAGGAAGGTACATGAGCCCAGCCTGACATAACTTTGAAGGATACTGGGTATCCTAAAGAGTGTTGAGTTGAGTGTTTAACACACACACACACACACACACACACACACACACACACACACACCCTATCCTTTTGGGATCTTTTTGTTTTTCTTTCAGTACCAGGAATCGAACTCACGACATTGGGCTTGCCAGGTAGACGCTGTGCCACTGAGCTAAATCCCCAGCCACCTCGCAATCTGTCCTTTTGAAGAGCAACAGTAGAAATGAACAAAAATAGAAACTTAAATGTCAGGCATTTCACTGATGACCACTATTGCTACCATTTCTCCCAAATTTTCAAAAGCTGCCCAGAATCAAGAGTAATTTACAGAACTAGTACAGTTAGACCAATACTGGACACCAAATCAAAAAATTTTCCAAAGGAATTCAATTCACTTGAACAAAAATGTATTGAATTTTATAAATATATTGAAATTTGCTCGGATCTTAAACACTGATGAAGCAAACAGGAAAAAAATCAAATTTTACTCAAGAATCGTACAGATTTTAGAAATCAGAACAGCCTGGTCAGTAGCAGTCTCCACTAAGAGTGATCATAAGCCATTCACTTGTCCCAACAGGAAGAGTCAACATGAAACCTAACGTTTACAGCAAACAGTTGAACTGACAACTTGTTGTATATCTTTATTAAAGTCTCCTTTGGAGATTTTTCATTGCAATCCATTTAGCAAAAAACTATCAAGACCTATAAAGTTCTG